CGGGTGACATACAGTGGAGGCTATTACATGGAGTTATAGCTGTGAATGCTTTTATTTCTGTAATAAACCCAGAGATTAGTTCTGATTGTCCTTTTTGCTTGCAGAGAGAAACCGTTTTTCATGCTTTTTTGTATTGTGATAGATTAAGACCTTTATTTATTGTTGTAGAGTCTTTTTTTAAGGCTTTTAATGAAAAATTCTCTATGCAAATGTTTATATGTGGGTTTAAATATGTAAAGAGAAAGGCTTCTGTGTGTCAGTCGTTAAATTATGTGTTGGGCCAATCAAAAATGGCAATCTATGTGAGTAGGAAGAATGAGATTGAAAATAGTTCTGGACAAGATGTACTGGTGGTTTTTTACAATCTGATTAAGTCCAGAATAATTACAGATTTCAATTTTTTCAAGGCTATGAATGATTTGTCATTGTTTGAAGTGAAATGGTGTTGTGGAGAGGTATTGTGTTCTGTGCATGAAGGGACACTAATTTTTGCTACCTGTTTACAGTAAAAGGAGTATTTTTATGGGTTTATGTATAAATAGCAGAGTAGAGTTTTTGTGTGTGTGTGTTTTATAAAATGAGAACGATGTAATGAAATAATGTTACATTTTTAATTGTAATAAAATATGTTTTCAAATTCAAAAATTCAAAAAAATTCTCTCTCTCTCTCTCTCTCTCCTCTCTCTCTCTCTCTCTCTCTCTCTCTCTCTCTCTCTCTCCTCTCTCTCTCTCTCTCTCTCTCCTCTCTCTCTCTCTCTCTCTCTCTCTTCTCTCTCTCTCTCTCTCTCTCTCTCTCTCTCTCTCTCTCTCTCTCTCTCTCTCTCTATATATATATATATATATATATATATATATATATATATATATATATATATATATATATATATATATATATATATATATATATATATATATATATATATATATATAAGTGGGCCGTGGCTTGATGATCATATGGGGGAAATGTGTGATATTTTGATATGTGAACTACTATTGACCAGGGGCGATTCTAGGGTCAGAGCTTTAGGGGTGCTGAGCCAATGAGCCCCACTGCCACCACCCACATTTTACACCCATATACGCTCCCTCTCTCTGTTCATTTTATTTATTTATTTGTAAGGGGGACAATGTACACATTAATCAACATTAGAATAATGTAAATGTACCCGAGTTAGCTAAAAGAGCTCATTTTCATCGGCAGTTCCCCAGCCAGCAATAAAAAAGGCAAAAGATATTAACAAATTTTGAAAACTATGTGGTGGACTCTGTTCCTCTAGGGGGGTTCGGGGGCATGCTCCCCCGCTAGACAATTTTGTACATTTTAAGGTTAAATGCATCAATCTCGTGCTCTTTGAGAGATCAAAATTAAGAGCTTCAACCCATGAACTGCTCGTTGAACAAAGAAAACGCATTGATTTGTACCAGGACAATAAAAAGGGCTCAAACATCTTTTTAGTTGTGAGAGTCTCAGTCTACATTACATTATCAATGGTGTTTTAGGATGCCAAACAATTATTATAATAATGTAATAATGATTTATATAATTATTCCTATGATGTAAAATCCATATAGCCTATAAATGAACTATATAAGTGAAAATGAATTTTTCAAAAGTATATTTTAATCAACATTACACTATAGGAAAATTAAAATACATGTCATATTTCTACACTTGCAAGAAATAAACCCTTAAGCTTTTATTTAGGAGAAAACACCAGATATAACCATGCTGATCACGTGAGCAAAGTGCACACTTTTCTTTAAATCACCCAGCAAATGTGGAAGCCTATTCTTAAAGTCTTGTGCTGTTTTATAAAGGCACAAAGTCATATCATGGATTCGATTTTAGTTTGTTGGCAAAATACTGTATAACACTAGAGCCCTTTATGTTAGGTTATAAATTTTACATCTCATATGTGTTGGGAGATAAAGGGAGAAGAGAGAGTTCGGCAAAAGGCGGAATCGAACTCAGGTCGAGTGCATCTAAAACTGCTTTCAAACACATCACGCCCTACGACCTACACCACTGTAGCTTCTCCGCGAACGTGCATCTATTTACTAGAAAGACAGGCACTTAGTGCAAATATACGCTCCATTATCGAAAATAAGAAAAACACAACTTTTTTTTCTTCCCCTCGCTTGGGCGCTTGGCGAACTTGCAATGTATAAATTTTATCAGACCAGCCCTCGCGGCCTCGAAACACTACCGGCTCACCGGGAAAACTCTCGACTCTCCTGATTGCCACGCCGCTAACGTTACTCCACAGCGGCGGCGACCCACTAGACTAAAACAGTCTGAAAATAAACACTTATTATAGGTGTACCATGGTGATTCAGGATACTGACTCCAGTACTCACCGATATGGTTTCGGAATCGGAACAACTGAAAGGAAAGAAGTGTGAGACACAGCTCTGGAGTGTCTCAGTTGATTCACAAAACTACCTAACGTTAACTGCCCGGGTTCTCTCTGCGTGTGTTTCGCGCTGGATGACGGCCGTGCTGAGCGGTGCAGGTACAAAAATGTAATGTTAGAAGAAGAGAAATGTTTTCATTTTCATTTCATTTTAAACCACAAACTACGGAGTATGTTTTGGACATTATTTAACCGTGTCAAAGACGAACTAAATTTTTAGAATAACAACATTTCTTGCTCCAAGTTTTAGGGGTGCTGAGCTCCTTTTTAGGGGTGCTGAAGTACCCTTAAGTACCCTACACTTTACACAGAGGAAGATGAGAAGAGCTTATACACACTTTACACAGAGGAAGATGAGAAGAGCTTATACACACTTTACACAGAGGAAGATGAGAAGAGCTTATACACACTTTACACAGAGGAAGATGAGATGAGCTTACACACACTTTACACAGAGGAAGATGAGATGAGCTTATACACACCAAGTTGGGGCTCCATACACCCGGTGTGGGGGGCCCTCCTAGAGGCCCCCAAAAGCCCAGAGTGTGGAGCCCCAACTCGGCTTATTTTTCGCGTTACACCTGGTCAAAGTTGAAACTTCAACCGGGCACTGGGCTTTATTCGTGCCCAGGAGACCCTGCCTGGGATGCACTTTTCTGTTCGCCGGGACCCCCGACTTTGAACGGCTAGAACTCGGGGACCCGGGCAAGTTGGACCTCGGAGGCGGACTCTTTCAAAAGGCCCCGTCCAGCACTACGATCGATTCGAGTTTAGGGAAGATTGGGCCAGGGGTTATCGAGATATAAGCCAAAAATGCTGCGCCTTTGACCAGGCGTAACTCCCTGACCCCGAGGCCCTCGGGGACGCGGGTGGCCTCTTTGGATAGGGCCCCTCGAGACCTACAGACGACCCGAGTTTGAAATTGTTTTGCCTTTTGGTTTGAGATATTGGCGAAAAACAGATTTTTCCCCTCCGTTCCTTCGTTCGGTTGGTGTGGATGTCTCCGGGGGGACTTGTGCACCTTCCTGGGTGTGCCGTCAGAGCCTCTGGGGCCCTGGAAGTCCCCACCCACTGCACGTTTTCGGACTTTGAGGAATTTACAGACCCAGAAAAGGGCCCTGAATTTGAACGCCCATAACTCGGGGACCCGGCAGCCCAGAGACACCAGACTTGGGTCAAAAGTAGCGTCCCGGTGGGCCCCTCGCAAAGAGCCCGCCCCCGAGCTCCGGGGCCCCCGGGTCCCGGAGAAAAGGGGCCCGACGGATCTGGGGCGCCTCGGAAGGAAAGGTCCCAGGGGCCCGGGGAGGCGGGGTCTGAGAGGGCCCATGGGGAGCCCCCGACACCCGAAAGGGCGAGCCGCTGGGACCTCCCTTCTCCAAGATACGGGCCGTTTTGTCCAAAAGTCGCCCGCGCGTAACGGGGCCTATATCGGGACCAGAAGGTCCCAGTGGCTCGGGATGGCGGGTGCAGGGCCCACCCTTGGCGACCTTGCTTCTCCCACCGTCCCGAGCCACGGGGACCTTCCGGTCCCGAGATACAGCTACTTCCTGTCCAACTTAGACCGGGCGTAACTCGGAGAGGAAGCCGAGTTGGGGCGCGAGGCTCTGGGTGTTTAAAAGACATATTGAAGCTCTTGCTACAAAACTTTAATTCACTCTGGAATGTTTATATACACTCACCTAAAGGATCATTAGGAACACCTGTTCAATTTCTCATTAATACAATTAACAAAATCAACCAATCACATGGCAGTTGCTTCAATGCATTTAGGGGTGTGGTCCTGGTCAAGACAATCTCCTGAACTCCAAACTGAATTTCAGAATGGGAAAGAAAGGAGATTTAAGCGGTTTTGGGTGTGGCAAGGTTGTTGGTGCCAGACGGGCCGGTCTGAGTATTACACAATCTGCTCGGTTACTGGGATTTTCACACAGAACCATTTCTAGGGTTTACATAGAATGGTGTGAAAAGGGAAAAACATCTATCATGCACCTCTCAGGTTCATCACTCTTTGGCTATCAGACACATCACTGCATCTTATACAGAAACAGGCCGTCAATCAAAGTGCGCAGGATGCTTCATTGGCACATTTTTATTTATAAAACTATTTTAGGTCTTTTGCCTTCTTATATCTGTTTAAAATGTGTTCATAATCAAAGTACATATTTAAGATATAACAACGGACTACTTTGTAAGGTACCAAGGATGAGGACAGAAGCAGGAAAGAGGAGTCTTTCTGCCCTTTGAAATCCAGTCTAGGCTTAAGATTGGTGCGCTAATTTCCCTAGCTGCTTTATAAAAAATAATATATGACATGCTGACGGACATATGCACTTGTTTTTATTAATGGTAGGTAGATCTCGACTTTTAGTCTGTATTTGGTTTGTTTATACATTTTAAACTTATTGCATTTTTTTCTGTGTAAATTTTGTAAACTTTGAGTAAATCTTTATTGTATTTTAATTTACGTAACATGTTGTTTTTCAGCTCATGTTGAAAATGTTGCTATACAGGACTCCCTTGTAAAAGAGACTGTCTCAACGCGACATTTCCTGTTTAAATAAAGGTTATATATATTTTCACACATACTTGAGTATCTGAAATGTGTAGTTTGGATCCTTCAGTTTGTCAGAGAGCAGCTTGACTCCTGAGTCTCCTGGGTGATTGTAGCTCAGATCCAGCTCTCTCAGGTGTGATGGGTTTGAACTCAGAGCTGAAGACACATAACCACAGCCTTCCTCTGTCACCATACAGCCAGACAACCTACAGACACACACAGTCAGACCATCTACAAACACACATCAACATTATAACCGGCAGACTGTAAATAATCTCTCATATGTTCTTAAATACCTCAGTATCTGCAGCCGACAGTTTGGGCTTTTCAGTCCATCAGAAATAATCTTCACTCCTGAATCCTGCAGGTCATTGTGACTCAGATCCAGCTCTCTCAGGTGTGATGGGTTTGAACTCAGAGCTGAAGACACATAACCACAGCCTTCCTCTGTCACCATACAGCCAGACAACCTACAGACACACACAGTTAGACCATCTACAAACACACATCCACATTATGACCAGCAGACAATGTTCCCTCTAAGGCGCGCGCGTGGCCACGCAGGCCAGTCGAAGTTGCCACGCAATAAATTTTTCAGACCGCGCACATTTTTTTTTTTCAGACCACACGAACCAAACGATTTTTTTTTCATGGGTTAAACATCTGAGCAAAGGCGATGCAGGCAAGGTAATAAACATTTAAAAAAACTGACATGTGACTGACAACCAAGCCGAAGACGTTAGAATGTTTACATACGTATCCTAGGCTACTCTTGGCGTGCCCCAGCCACCAAGAGTTATGCAGTATACCATGGCAAAGAGAAAGGCAGAGCTGGTGCCCCAGAAAAAGGTTTGCCTAACGTTCAAACATGAGTGGTTAGATGAAATAGTCCAAACTGACACAAAAGATGATCCAGGTAGGATAAAACTTTCAGACATATTTACATATGAAGAAAAGAGTTGCGTGATCTGCAAATTATGCTCAGAGGCAAAAGCGAAAAGGAGAGTTCACTCGGGGGAAACACTGGTCCGGGTGGAAGCTTGATTACCTAAAACGTCACCTGACATAGAAAGTTCATGTAGACGCAGTGAAAACATTAAGACTTAGACATGGGAAATCTATCGATAAAATGCTCACCAAAACGAATGAATCCCGAGAGAGACGAATTCAGAGAGCACGATCCGACCCTGAAAAAATAAAAAATATTGATAGACAATGTGATGCTAGCAATTAACACCAACATGTCCATGTTATCAGTTCAGGATATACACGATCACATGGAAAAATACGTCGACCTACCTCAGAGTTGGAGAAGCAAAAATTATGCTTTTTAATTTGTGGAATGTATCAACGCAGATGTGCAGACTGAGATGATAAGCAGCATAAGAAATGCTCGAGAAATGCACTGCATGGCCCATAGGGAGGACTTAGGAATTGACGACGCATGGAAAGATGTCCCTATAATGACAGAGGTAGAAACGCTACTCCGGACAGTATACTCCATGTTTAGCAGATCATCTTTGAAGAAAGCTAAATTCACAGAGATGGCAGAGGTTTTGGAAGTGGATTCACTGTCTTTTAGGCCTTTGAATGAAGTGCGTTAGCTGTGCACACTTTTTTGCGCAATTTTAGCGCGTTGACCGAATACTGTGCCAAAGAAGCTGACTCTGACCCCATTGTGAAATTGTCATTGAAAACTGACCGACACCATGTACAAATTTGCAATCACTGTGCTAGCAGAAGTGCTTGAGGAACTCACTCAGCTGTGCACCTGTTTACAGCGCAGTAACCTTACGGCCGTGGATGGGCACTGCATTGCCAGAGCGAAAATACAGAAACTATGTGCGCAATATTTAGGAGAGCGTGTTCACTGGGGCAAACGAGCGCTCACAGTTTTGGAAAGTGAGAGTGCAGTGAACACAAGGGACATTATTCTGTTTGTCCGTAAAGTTTGTGAGCACTTGGTTGCCCGCTTCCCTGAAAATGAGCTCAAAGAGTGGGCTGCCTTTGAGCCGGGCACGTTGGATCATGCAGTTGGTGAATTTGATCATGGGCTGAATGACGTGACCAGTCTGGCGAAGAAGTTTGAAGCGCTTTTGGAGGAAGCAGACGATGCGGTCACGAGGCACATGTGTCAACAATACAACAAATTCAAGTTCAAGGTTAATGAAAAAAGGAAAATCGGACTGCTCAGATCATTTTCTGAGATTGTAACCTGGTCGCTGAAAAGTGAGCATTTTCCAGATCTGGTACAACTTCTTGACATTTGCGGCACATTCCAGGCATCCAGCGCCGACTGTGAACGCGGTTTCAGTCTAATGAATGCCATTAAGGGGTGATGAACTGAGAAATCAAATTTTCCTTGAGCTTTTGACATCTAAGAGGTCATCATATTATAAGAATATACTGTAAGTTTCAGAACTAAAAACGCAAAATGCGCACTGATTTGCGCATTACACACATAAGTATCATACATGTACATGCTTACCTCGTGATGACAAACTGGATCACTACCGAGCAATACAGAATATTGTGTGCAGTGCCTGGTTGTGCAAGACAGTCGCTGCATAAGCTTCCTCTGGATTCCAATAGGACTGCATGGATAAAATTAATTTTTAATGACGTTCCAGCTGATGAGGTAAAACATCGTCGTCTGTTCGCTTCATTTCACTGAGGATTGTTTTGTCAACAAGACTGGATTTGCAGACTGATTAAGAGTAAAGAACGGTGCTGTGCCGTCTATATTGGATCTGACAGGAATATTGTGCAACACACGGACTCTGGGTTGAACATGTATGGGCGAATCCGGTTGCCATTTTACAACATTGGACGTTTTCCCCAACGTACACCGACGGGTGAGTGAAACTCATTATAATATGCAAAACTGTTCTCCACTCGCAGCAGTGGGTGTTTACTTCCAAGTCTTCAGTGCGACACGCCCATAAAAACCGACTGTTTTCACAACCAGGGTACAAAATAGCCTATTACTTGTTCATTTTGATGTTTTTGAATGCAAAAACCAAGCGAACGTTGTAAGTTGACCTCAGACAACAATATAATAACATTTAAAAAGCCAGTTCATGACCCCTTTAAGACAAAATCACGCAACCACAAAGTTTTCCATTTGGACCAACTGATGAGAATTAAATCAAGGCAAAAAGAGAGTCCTATAGACCGTGACAAGGTCTACAACTACTGGAAAGTTGACAGACAGGCGAGAGAAGATTTGAGGTAGAAATTTATTTCCAATATTTTAATTAGACCTACTAGGCCTTATATAGATCAAAGTGAACTTGATTACTGCAACAACATTTTGCCATATGTTTAGACATTAAATCATGTAGCTTAATTCTGTTTTAATATATTTGCAGTTGTTAAATATAATAATGATGATGTGTTTTTAAGAGAAATTATGTTTCTCTTTTGAGATGCTGTTCTTTGGAGAAATGTGTTTTCGGCCTGCAGACAAGATGAGCCACATAGCCAGATAGGACTATCATCCTCAATTACATTCAAATGATATGTTTTGTTACCTAATTTGTTGCACTAGTTTGTTGAAGTTATTAAATTGTTTATAAAGGTAACCTTTAGGAAAAATTACACTGTCAATTTAATAGGCCTATAATTAATGTTTAGTACTGCATTAGCATTTTTTTCATCAGTTCATTTATGACTGACATTTATCATTATCAGTCATAATAACCAGTTAACCAATCATAATAACCTTTCTCAACCTTATCCACAAGTTTCCAAGGGGCGCTCCTGTAAAAAATAAAGTGGGTGAAACTTCCGGTGACGCGGCGGAAGTAGCATTCCAATGTTAGTTAGCGAAGAGGCTAGCTGTTTTTCGGAGAATTATTTTACTATTTAAAGACACAAATCTTTATGAGAGATGTTGTTACGGAGCTCAGGGACAACATGTGCTGTTCGCGGTTGTATGTATAACCGGACTAAACTAGTTCAGTGGCTTAAACGTGATTGTTTTCAACATAAGCTGAAAACGATATCAGAGTGATCCTGCCAGAGCCCGTCTCTGATCCTGCCAACGACTGTAGTTTCCATCACCTCCCAAAAGACTACGAATCTTCCTGTGTACATTTGTTGAAATTCTTAATATTCTATAAACTCTCTCAGCATGTGATTGGCTGTTCTCTACTGATGTTACACCTAAACTCAGGATCAAAGCCTGTGTTGACAGAATACCAAATGTGCCAGTTAATGTATTCAAGCAGCACATTCATTTATAATTTTGAATAAACTCCAAAGCACAATGACTAAGTGTGTATTTTTTATTTCAATTGTTTGTCAGCTCACACAACTGTCTGTCACCATGCCTTGATGAGTATTGATAATTAATAATGTTATTATAATACTCCCAATCAACTACTGCGGAGGGTTAAGGTACTGTTATTTCACCCTTTTTAATTTCGTTGAGGTTGTGTTCCCACATCGTTAGCTAGTTTGGATCGCTATTACTTGAATGACTGTCAACTGTTGAATGAACGAGTGTCAAGCATGTCAAATCGCGCTTTGTTTACTTCCAACCGGAAGTCGCGCCCACTTTTGACGCAAGGCCTCATGGGGCGTAGGAAACTTGTGGATTGAAACCTTATCAAACAAAGATCTTTTAAGTTTAACTAAACTGACAGGCAAAACACCATCATTAAAATGTTCCCAAAGTTTAGCCATTATAAAAGGATATTGAATAAATATCAACCTTGTAGACATATTGATGCATTTGCTGTCATCTCTTTGAATCCCCTATGGCTAACGCAGGCTCGTAGTAATTTTCGGCACAACGACGGGTGGTGTCGTTGCGAATTGCTCACAGTATTGAAATGTGTGCTCAGAAAAAAAAAAATTGCTCAGTGCTGAAAAAAATTAGAGGGAACATTGCCGGCAGACTGTAAATAATCTCTCATATGTTCTTAAATACCTCAGTATCTGCAGCCGACAGTTTGGGCTTTTCAGTCCATCAGAAATAATCTTCACTCCTGAATCCTGCAGGTCATTGTTACTCAGATCCAGCTCTCTCAGGTGTGATGGGTTTGAACTCAGAGCTGAAGACACATAACCACAGCCTTCCTCTGTCACCATACAGCCAAACAACCTACACACACACACACACACAGTCAGACCATCTACAAACACACATCCACATTATAACCGGCAGACTGTAAATAATCTCTCATATGTTCTTAAATACCTCAGTATCTGCAGCCGACAGTTTGGGCTTTTCAGTCCATCAGAAATAATCTTCACTCCTGAATCCTGCAGGTCATTGTTACTCAGATCCAGCTCTCTCAGGTGTGATGGGTTTGACCTCAGAGCTGAAGACACATAACCACAGCCTTCCTCTGTCACCATACAGCCAAACAACCTACACACACACACACACACACACACACACACACAGTCAGACCATCTACAAACACACATCCACATTATAACCGGCAGACTGTAAATAATCTCTCATATGTTCTTAAATACCTCAGTATCTGCAGCTGACAGTTTGGGCTTTTCAGTCCATCAGAAATAATCTTCACTCCTGAATCCCGCAGGTCATTGTTACTCAGATCCAGCTCTCTCAGGACAGAGTTTGAGGATTGTAGAGCTGATGACACGATTTCACAATCCTGGCCAGTGAGATTACAGCCAACAAGACTAGAAGAGAGGAAACAGCACAATAAATTGGGGTTCAGGGTGCTTTTCTTTAAAGGATTATCAGTAGCACCTTAAACCAGAAAAAATAGATCAATAAATAATTGGCAATAAAAGATAAAATAAAGTCAAATATTGTGAAATATGAGGTCGTTGTGGAGAAGTAGTCCACATTTGTGGATGAACAGCTTGACTCACTGTCCATAGAGTTCCCTTGTCCATAGCATAGTTATTCCAAACTGAAACAGTATTTATTACAAAAAATTAAATCTATACTGGGACCAGCCACCGGGAGGCGATCGAGACTCTGGGTTTATGAGCTATACTGGGACCGGCCACCGGGGGGCGATCGAGACTCAGGGTTTATGAGCTATACTGGGACCGGCCACCGGGAGGCGATCGAGACTCAGGGTTTGTGAGCTATACTGGGACCGGCCACCGGGGGGCGATTGAGACTTAGGGTTTATGAGCTATACTGGGACCGGCCACCGGGAGGCGATCGAGACTCAGGGTTTATGAGCTATACTGGGACCGGCCACCGGGAGGCGATCGAGACTCAGGGTTTATGAGCTATACTGGGACCGGCCACCGGGGGGTGATCGAGACTCTGGGTTTGTGAGCTATACTGTGATAGGCCACCGGGGGACGATAGAGACTCTGGCTACAAGACCTGTGCAGCATGCTTGGTTCTAATACACAGTCGTATAGGTTTTTTTCCTCATCAAATCCGAATATGTTCAGTGTTTGTGTAGCAAGCAGGGACATGTTTGTGTGCATTTTGTTTTGTGATTTCACCGTAACGAATAGAGTCTCCGCCACGGCGTTAGGGATAGACTGAAGCGCGTGTCCGAGTGAAGACTGTGTGTGTGAGCCACAAGAGATAGAGAACACTGTATCCGCGTCACTGATAGCAGCCGCAGCCGGCACTCAGCAGCTTGATTTAAAAACACATTTCAGCGCTAGAACGCCTCTTATTTAACAAACGAGCGGGAGATCGTAGCTGAAGGCCCTGACTGAAACCCCACAGTATGCCACTGTTCATTTGTCTTTTTATTCATGCAGAATCAAATCTGGCCCGAGTAATTTCTGTTGCCCGTTCTCGTTCATCTCTCCACACAACGCAAAACGAAGACCGTCAGGCGTGTCACAAACACACGCTAGTAGCACACATTCTTCACACACTGTATATCGCCTCACTGTATATAAAGCACTGAAGAAACTACGAGCATGAAACATTGTTACGTTGTAAATGAGTATATCACAAAATAACAGTAAAATCCCAATAAATCACGTTACTGGTGCGTCATGTGTTCGCGGAGAAGGATTAGCATGCAGGAATGATGTTCATTCTGTTCATCAGGTTCTTGTTAGTATTGTGTCACCATGGTAACTATTGTTTCCATAACCCCAAAATGCCACTTTATTTTTCACTTTGGGGTATTTTGTATATTATTAAATGACTGGTTGCTCAATCCAACATTGAATTAACCAAAACTAGTTTGGGACTGATATTTAAGAGCTAGACCTCATAGGCCTACTGTTTATTTATCAGTATTAGTCATTAGTCACCCAAAAATGAAAATTAAGTCATTAATTACTCACCCCCATGCTGTACCAACCCCGTAAGACCTTCGTTCATCTTCGGAACACAAATGAAGATATTTTTGATTAAATCTGAGAGCTGGATCACTGCTATATAGGCTCCTAAGGGAATGAAACTTGACAGCCCAGAAAGTCAATGAAGAAAATGTTTAAATATTCCATGTGCCTACAGCGGCTCAACTATATGTTTATCAAGCGACGAGACTACTTTGTGTGAAAAAAACAAACAAAAATAACGACTTTATTTGACTATTCCATTTCTTCCTTGTGGGCCTGAGACGAGAGTTAAAGAGATTTCCACGACGCAATGGTTCTGCGCAATGGTTTCAGGTGTGTGCCGGAGGACGGCGTGACGGTGGAAGATGTTTTGGTTGCGGTGGGGGAGAAGGTAGGCCATGAGAATATTTCCTCTGCTTCCAGAATGAATAGAGCCGTAGTCGTTTTTTTGAAACAACAACTTGTAAATCAAGTGATCGAAAGTGGGCTAGTCATTAAAGATGAATTGGTGCAAGTTACACCGCTGCATAACGCATCTAGTAGAATTGTGATTTCGAACGTGCCGCCATTCATCTCTGATGACGTATTGGAGCGTGAATTAGTGCGGTTTGGCAAGATTGCGAGTCCGTTTAGAGCGATCTCTCTGGGGTGTAAGAACCCAGCTTTGAAGCATGTGATGTCTTTTAGGAGACAGGTTTACATGTTTTTAGAATCACCAGATCGTACACTTAACGTTTCCTTTCGTATAAAACATGAAGGGGAGCATATATGATTTATGCAACTACCGGAAGTTTGCGTTGTTTTGAGTGCGGTGATGTCGGCCACAAACGGCAGATGTGTCCGCATAAAGATCGTGGACAGGAAAACAATGTCGCAGTGATAGAGGCTGATGCTCAGGATACTTCAGACGGGTCAGGAGGAGATTTCAGGCCTCGCGGAGGTAAGACAGTCAGAGCAGGTTGATGTGGTTTTAAATGTAACGGCGAATAATTCAGAGAAACCTGTGGTAGCGGCAACCAGTTCAAATAATGATGTCAGTGATGAGATGGTAAAGAGTAAAGAACACGTAGTGTTTAAACAGAGCAGTGAATGTGACGAGAATGTGTACCCGAGTCCTAGTGTTGATCATTATGTGTGTGATGCAGAGAGTCGAGCAGAGGATGCTGCTTTGTCAGATGAGTCTGCTTCTGTGCAGGACATGGACTCCTGCTCACAGTATGGGTTAGAAGAGAATTCTCAGGATCCTCATAATGATGTCTCTTTATATACTTTGAAGGAAAATCAATCAATTTCTAGATAATACTTTCGGAAAGCAGGTTGATGTCAAAGAATTCTTTCCTGATGTAGAGAAGTTTGTTAAGTAAGTTACAATTCTTCAGAAGACTGTGGGGGTTGATCTGCTTAGTGAAAAGAAGCGGTTTTGTCTAAAGAAGCACTTGACTACTGTTAGAAAGTACCTAAAAATTGAGAAAAAGAAAACATCAAACGTACTGTCGTAAACAATCTTTTTTTCATGCATCACATGGTGTCTTTTTCTTTTTTTCTGCTCTTTTCTACCTGTCTGTTTTTTCTTCCACTATTTTATATGGAGGAATTGAGGGTTGGCTCACTTAACATTAATGGTGGAAGGGATGAACGTAAGCGTGCTCTGATTTCTGAAATAATAGAGCAAAAAGAATTAAATGTTTTTCTTCAGGAAACACATAGTAATATTGCTAATGAGGTTGAGTGGGGATTATGGTGGAAGATGCAATATTTGCTTAGTCATAAAACAAATGTGAGTGCTGGGGTGGCAATATTATTCTCTTCAGATATAAGAGTTAATGTTTTAAAAACAGACGAACCTGTAAAAGGAAGATTATTAGTAGTAGAGTTATTTTTTATTTTGTAAATGCATATGCACCTAATGTGGGGCAGGAACGAGTCATTTTTTTTTAGTGTGTTAAGAAATGCTTTAAATTTGTGTGCTGATGGTAATATAATCATGGAAGGTGATTGGAATTGCACTGAGAATTTTACTATCGATCGCACAAGTGAAGAACCTCATCTTCAGTCTTTATCTCAATTATCAAATATAATTAGAGAATTTCATCTTTTAGATATGTGGCGAGTTAAACATCCTCAAGTGAGACAATATACTTGGATTAAAATGACAGATAGAGTAAGTGCTGCCCGATTAGATAGGATCTATATGTCCAATCATCTTAGTAGTCGTAGTATTGATTGTTTTATCATTCCAGTGGGGTTCACAGATCTTCATTTAGTTTCTCTTACTATAAGTATGTCCAAGTGTACAAAAAAGTTTTCTTATTGGCATTTTAACACCAAATTGCTTCAAGATCCTAATTTTTGTAAACATTTTGAGACTTTTTGGCAACAGTGGAGATTGTGTAAAAGCACTTATGCAAATTTAAAACAATGGTGGGAAATAGGGAAAACAAACATTAAATTGTTTTGTTTGCAACATACTGCTAATTCCACTATTAAATTAAGAGGAATGATTCAGTCAATTGAAAAGGATATCAAAGATGGAGGTGGATCTAATTAATAGATATGATCATAATCTGTTTAACAACCTGCAAGAAAAAAAAAAGAGAACTGGGGCTTTATTTGAATAAAAGGGTGAAAGGAGCTCTTGTAGGGTCTCGGTTTGTCTCTGTTAATGACATGGATGCTCCTAGTGCTTATTTGTTTAATTTGGAGCACAAAATGGCACAACAGAAACAGATGTTATGTCTTCGCCTTCCTGATGGGAGGGTGACCAGTAATATCACGGAGATGAGGAATCATGCAGTGACTTTTAATTCCAGTCTATATACTGCTGAACAGCTCAATTCAAGACTTGCCTCAAATAGACTCAGACTCTAAGACTGCCTTGAACACTGAACTATCTCTTCAAGAACTCACCACTGCAGTCGGTCAACTTGGCATTGGGCGATCTCCTGGTATTGATGGGTTGCCGTCTGAATTTTACAAGCATTTTTGGAACTGTATTGGTGAGGACTTATTTGAGGTTTTCTGTGAATGTAGCAAAGATGGTTGTTTTCCTATATCTTGTCAACGACCTGTGCTATCCTTATTACCAAAAAAGGGAGATTTATCATTTTTTAAAAATTGGAGACCTGTTGCGTTACTAACCACAGACTACAAAATTATGTCTAAGTGTCTCGCTAATAGACTTAAAAAATATCTCAATTTAATCATACAAAAAGATCAAACTTATTGTATCCCATTGAGAACAATAATGGATAATTTGTTTTTAATTCGGGATATTTTAGATATTTTTAAAGGGTTTGAAACAAAGGTTGGTTTAATTTCTTTAGATCAAGAGAAAGCTTTAGATCGGGTTGATCATGGTTATCTTTTTGATGTATTAAAAGCTTTGTATTGGTGAACATTTTTTAAGTTTGGTCAAATTGCTGTATTCTGGTGCTGCTTGCATTGTAAAAGTGGGAGGTGGGTTAAGCCGGCCTATACCTGTATCAAGGGGAATCAGACAAGGCTGTCCTTTATCAGGGCAACTATATAGTATTGCTATTGAGCCTCTTTTTTTTTAATTTACGTAAAACTTTGTCTGGTTTTATTGTTCCTGGTATATCTCAGAGTTCAAGTATTACTGTAAGTGCTTATGCTGATGATGTGACACTGTTTGTTAATAATGAGAAAGACATCAATGCTCTGGTTAATGCACTTAATGTGTATGAAAAGGCTTTATCTGCAAAAGTGAACTGGGACAAAAGTGAGGCTTTTTGGGCAGGGGAATTTTCTGTTGAAAAGCTTCCACTGTTGCCTGGAGGTCTTATGTGGAAAAAAGAGGGTTTAAAGATTTTAGGTATTTATTTTGGGAGAAATGAGTTTCAAAAGTTGAATTGGGAGGGTTTAGAGGAAAGAGTGTGTACCCGATTGTCTCGCTGGAAATGGTTGCTACCCCAGTTGTCCTACAGGGGAAGGGTTTTGGTCGCTAACAATTTAGTGGCTTCTACTCTTTGGCATAAACGGTGTGTACTGCAGCCGCCCACAGGACTAATCCAAAGTATTCAAAGGAGGTTGGTGACTTTTTTCTGGTCTGGACAGCACTGGATTCGATCAGCCGCTCTGTTACTTCCAGTACAAGAAGGTGGGCAGGGTTTGGTGGATATTAAGTCCAGGATAATGACGTTTCGCCTACAAACAGCGCAAAGACTTGTATAATGTAAACTCTGCCTGGATGGACACTGCAATAGCTCTTTTAAGGAGGGCAGGAGGCATGGGCTTTGACAGACATTTGTTTTTAATACAATTGCAAGAAAGAGAAATGGTGGATCTCTCCCCTTTCTACAGATCTGTGCTGGAGGCCTGGAAGGTCTTTTTCGTATCAAGACCATCTAATACACCTGCTGGTCATTGGTTGTTGGAGGAACCTTTGTTTTTTAACTCCTTTTTATCTTTGAGACTGCTGTCATCCGAAAATGTGCGAGCACGACTGTTAGTGGCTGGGTGCAGTAAGCTGGGACATATCTTGAGGAATAATTTGCAAGACTTGAGCCAAAGAAGTGGTGTGAGTTTTTTGCAACAATGCATTGCAGAGATTTTTAAGGACTTGAGCACTGACTATCAAGTTTTTTTGAAAAACCCAGATGTCCTAAATGAATGGGTTGAAGGGTAGGGTAATTTTTTCCCTCAGTTGTTGTAAGCGCGGCTGTGGAAGACTGAGTTGAAGATGAAAGCTGTTTAGTGACGCTGAAAACACCAGTTCTGGACAGTTTTGATTCTGCTGGAAAGAAATCTCTATACCTGATATGAGTTAAAGTCTCTAACATGCAACTTTTAAATGGAGTTCCTTCAACAAGATGGACACAGTTTTTTGGATCTATTTTTTCCCCTAAAGGCTGCTGGCGTACCCTGTACAAATGTCCGGTTGATAAACGGACTGGTGACCTCCAGTGGAGGATTGTACATGGGGCAATAGCTACAAACAGACATGTGGTACACTTCAATCCTAGTGTTGGGGTGGGTTGTCCTTTTTGTTCTGAAACAGAGTCAATCTTTCATCTTTTTGTGCAGTGTTCACGATTGGGTAAGCTTTTTGATTTTTAGAAAATGAGTTTTATGTCCCTGGGGGAAGATTTCTCTTTTCAATTGTTCATTTTCGGGCCAAAGTACTCATTTCAAAAGAAAAATGTATATGCTTTAATTAATTTTTTTATCTGGCACTGTAAAATTGGCCATTTGGAAGACAAGAAAAAACAGCCTGTTGGGACAAAGGTCAATAAGCGTTGTGTCGATGTTTCTAGGTTTGGTAGCTTCCCGTTTGAGGGTGGAGTATGCATACTACAAGCTGGTGGAATCTCTACCAAAGTTTATAGAATTATGGTGAACTTATATAAATTATAAAAGTGAACTTAACTCTCTCTCTCTCTCTCTCTCTCTCTCTCTCTCTCTCTCTCTCTCTCTCTCTCTCTCTCTCTCTCTCTCTCTCTCTCTCTCTCTCTCTCTCTCTCTCTCTCTCTCTCTCTCTCTCTCTCTCTCTCTCTCTCTCTCTCTCTCTCTCTCTCTCTCTCTCTCTCTCTCTCTCTCTCTCTCTATATATATATATATATATATATATATATATATATATATATATACACAATTCCTAAACAAAAGTGGGCCGTGGCTTGATGACCATATGGAAAAAATGTGGGTCGCAGGGAAAATGAGTTGAGAACCAATAATGATAATACAAAACATCATTCAATGTAAATGTGATAATCGTGATTAATAATCGTGATTACAATCTCAAGGGAATAATCAATAATTATGATTTTATAATCGTGCAGCCCTATTGTGAGCTGGAGTGAGTGGAGGCGGGGCTAATTAGCATATTCATATATCCGCGTATACTAAATGAAGCAATGGTGTAGAGTTGCATTCAAGCTATTTTAAGAGATGAAGAGTTTTTTCACAGGAAAACACATTTAAATATGTAATTTTGTTGATCAAAAGATGAGTTTTAAGGGTTAAATGATTGGCTACAGAAGGGCTTTAATAATGAACACTCACCGAGCTTTACTGCAGTTGACCACAGCTGGTATCAGTCTTCTTCTGCCCTCAGCTGATGTGTTGTATTTCTTGAGGTTCAGCTCATCCAGCGGCTCCTCTGAGATCTGAAGCATGAAGGAGATTGTTGAGCAGTGAGACGGAGAGAGTTCCTTCTGTGAGTGTTTGTCTGATTTCACAAACTCCTGAATCTCTCTGGACAGAGTCTGATCTTTCACTTCCAGCAGACAGAGGAACAGACTGATGGATTGATCAGCTGAGAGACGATTAATACTCTCCTCATCTTTGATCTTCTGTTGAATGTGCTGTGTGATTCTCCGGATGTCCTCTGAGCTGTTCTGTGTGTGTATCAGTAGATCCTGTAAGAGTCTCTGATTGGACTTCAGTGAGACGCCCAGCAGGAACCGCAGGAACAGATCCAGCCGTCCATTATCACTCCTGAGGGCTCCATCTACTGCTGATGTTAGTAGATCATACAGAGAGTCAAATCTGGAAAATTTGAATTTATACAGCAGTTCCTTGTTGTTGATCATATACGAGTAAAACTGATAGAAAGCAGCGAGAAACTCCTGGACGCTCAGATGAATGAAGCTGTAGACTTTCCTCTGATGAATCACAGATTCCTCCTTAAAGATCTCAGTGCAAATCCCAGAATGCACTGCGGCGTCAGTGACGTCTATGCCGCTCTCTCTCAGGTCCTCCTCGTAGAACATCACATTGCCCTTCATCAGCTGATGGAAAGCCACTTCAGCAAGTTTCACAATCACTTCTCTGTTGGAGCGCAGGAGTTTCTCTGGATCTCTCTCTTCATACTTCTGATTCCTCATGTGGATCTGAATCAGCAGGAAGTGGATGTACATTTCAGTCAGAGTTTGAGGGATTTCTGCACTCAGATCTTCTTCCAGGAGCTTCTGAAGCACAGTGGAGGAGATCCAGCAGAAGACGGGTATGTGGCACATGATGTGGAGGCTTCTTGCTCTTCTGATGTGAGAGATGATTCTGCTGGCTTGATGCTCGTCACTGATTCTCTTCCTGAAATATTCCTCCTTCTGAGGATCACTGAATCCCTGAATCTCTGTCAGACGGTGGATGTATTTGGAGGGGATCTGATTGGCTGCTGCTGGTCTGGAGGTGATCCAGATGAGAGCCGAGGGAAGCAGATCTCCTTTCATGAGGTTTGACATCAACACACCCAGTGATGAAGACTCAGTCACATCAGAAACTTCCTGAGCGTCTGAAAACATCAGTGGGATTCTGCTTTCATCCAGACCATCAAAGATCAACACAACTCTACACTCCTCATACATCTTTGAGTCCAGATCTTGAAGTTCAGGATGAAAGTCCAGCAGAAGTCTGTGAAGACTGTACTGATGATCTCGGATCAAGTTCAGCTCTCGAAAGGGAAGCACAAACATGAAATCTACATCCTGATGGTCTTTCCCCTCGGCCCAGTCCAGAATGAACTTCTGCACAGAGACGGTTTTCCCGATTCCAGCGATGCCTTTAGTAAGAACAGTCTTGATCTGCTGTTTCTCCTGGCGTCCTGGTTCAGGAGAGGCTTTAAAGATGTCATTGCAGTGGATTGGAGTGTCTTGTGAGTGTTGTGTTCTGGCTGATTTCTCCATCTGTAAAACCTCATGTTCTTCATTCACTCCTCCTCTCTCTCCCTCTATGATGTAGAGCTGTGTGTAGATCCTGTTCAGGAGGGTTTCATTCTCTTGGAGATTCATTCCCTCAAATAATCTCTCATACTTGCTCTTCATGCTGGTTTTGTGTCGGTCTTTGACTCTCTGTAGTTCATCATTCACTGGATGATCATGTCTATTGAGGGACGGCGTGACGGTGGTGAAAGTGTTGTTCAGACAGAAGACTGAGGCGGCTCCTCGAGAGATGCTTCGCTCTCCATCTACTCTGCTGGAACAACAACAACAACAACAGAGTAAAACACACAAAGCAGCTTCACAGAAAACAGAAGAGCAGAAAAACACAGATGAGAGTAAAACAGTGTTTCAATCCTCCAGCGAGCAGCTAAAGATGAGAGACCAGGAACAAACTCACTAACAGATTTAAGAAATGAGGAAGACACCAAATCCTCATCCTCAATCTGACACCAGAGATCCTGATAGACAATAAGTTTCTTATATCTGGACATTGAGGTCACAGTTCATTCTCCATCACTGAACGTTTGTCCACAGATTTGAGGAGAAATCAGAAATAAAAACTGAACTCATCTCTCTGTGTGCATTCAGTGTGTTTTTGAGTCTCATGTTATTAGTCTCCTAGTTTCATACCTGCCAACCTAGAAGAAATTTTATGAGTACTTTTATGCGGCGGCAGGGGGTGTTGGGTGGTATATCTCAAAATATATTTTTGTCATTATTTTTGTCTGTGTCACACACAAACACACGCCTATTCTATAAAAATAGTTTTGACCTCTAAAGGTTTTTTAATTTGACACAAATACTAAATTTAACTTGCACTGCAATGCAACAGTGAAAGTACAAAGTTTCAATCCTACTCAACTCCATTTCTTTATTCATGATTGATTAGTATTGTATTGCATATAATGGTCAATTGCTGGTCAATAGAGGGAATGCATTGACACGTGACTTTCCCGCGTGACAACCCCCCTCAGCCTGACCGAGTGGCAAAAGATCTGCTGCGTGACTAGATTTAATAGGGGAAAACTGCGGAAATGCGACTAAATCGAACAATTTTATCAATTTAAACTAAATGTTGGACTCAATATAGTGTTCCTTACAACTTACTAAAAATCCAGTGATCCATGGATATTGACATGCAACCAGGAATCGTGTTGCCTGACATTTATGTTTGCCTGATTTCGACACCGGGGAAATAAAAGCAAGACCTAAACATAAAGCAAATTTGCCTGTGAACGCTTTATATAAATATAATATAGGTAGGTCTAAATCCGGGTGATCACTTATATCAGTGTTATCATATCGTCCAGCCCTAAAACTTTATACGTTTTTTGGTCAGTGTTTATTAAAAAAACATCCAATAATGCAGAATATGCAATGATAAATATTTAATTGATGAGCTGTTAATGTATATAACAATACAAAATATACGGGTATGGTTTTCCAGCTAAATTCAGCATATTGACACAAAATGATAACTGCAAATCCACCTTTGGCTGACTGGAGTCCAGCTGTTTCGATCCATTTGCTCCTCTTTCCATAGCAGTCTGTAAAAATATACCTCGGATGTTTTGTCAAATCTAGTTGTAAGCCTACAGTCAATCGCAAAGCTCTTTCCCACTTTATTTGTGTGTGTTGTGTTTGTTTTTCGCGGTATTCACGCTGAACACATATACAGCCGCTCAGTCTTTTTGCCACTCACTGTGAGGAACTGCAGGCACTCCGGCCGACGGTGACGTCACGCACATTCCCTCTATTAGTCTAAAATAATTTAAAAAAACCTAGATACCAGTAAAAAAAAAAAAAAAACCTGTACATGTTATTTATTTTAAATTGGCTACTTAATTGATTATTCCAATATCCAAATATGATATTAAATCCTACAGGGAAAAGGGTTTATATTTGTGCTTTCTTTGCATTTGAACATTAGGCTACACATTATAAACAGGACATGCATTAGCTGAATAAACTTTAGCCAATCCAAATATATTTACAGAAATAGTTAACAATGCATAGACAGGAGTCCTGTCACATGACCAATAATATAATTGTTCAAATAAGACGAATCCGACATATAATGAGGGCTGTTAACAGTAAAGCGTCCGTCGCTTAACTAATTGTAAAAACACGAATAGACAAGACAAAAAGCTTTGACATTTTGACAAAGAAAACACAAGCAAGCCTGTCAAACTTTGCCTGTCAATTTTTATATTATAAATATCTTCTCTCTCTGTGTACGCGAGTCTGTTTGTGAGAGCTCGCGCAGCACTGATACATGAGATCATACAACGGTCGTTTTTAATCCATAAGTATGCCAACTACACTAGTTTTCATACAAAATAAATGCGTAACATAATTCGGTACTTTGGTTATTAACATAATAACGTAACACTAGCAGGCTACCCAGACAGCAAACGGACATTGAATCAACGTGGAAACGACGTCTCTCATGACATTGAAACAACGTTGATTTTGCTCATCGAATTAACGTTGAACCAACGTCAGACGCGGCATTCTTCAAAGCTAAATGAAAATCGAAAATTGGTTTGCTTTCATAACGTTGAAACAACGTTGATTTCAAGTTGATTTTCCGTTAGTTTTGAAAGAATGACGCGTCTGACGTTGGTTCAACGTTAATTCGATGAGCAAAACAATGTCAGATCAACGTTGTTTCGATGTCATGTTTCCACGTTGATTCAATGTCAGTTTGCTATCTGGGTATGTTTCTCAACACTGAGAATGAAAAAAATAAACGCCTGTTTCTCCAGATTCGCGCTTTATATTATCAGTCATCCACAAATAACAGCACTTTCATAATCACTCAGACATAGCGATTTCAATTTTATTTAGATTTATTGTTCAATATTACTTGAGGATTTTTTAATTTGCATGGCTGAATGTCTTCCTCTTATCTGAGTTACCATGAATAAATTATGGAGTATTTTTTTAAATAATCCTTGCGATCCTGTCCCGTGTGATAACCAATCAATTTTATATGAACTCAAATACAATATTTCAACTTTCTACATCCACCCCAGCCCGTTTACCTTCAGGAGAAGTCCCGACTACTGTAGGCCTACCGTCCTCGCTTAAATCAGTCAGACCCGGGGCGCGTGCGAGTGGAAGTGGGATCGAGCGGGATTCTTTATTGGTGTTGATTTTCAGTCTCTTTTTAATTAAAGGGCTTACACATCTGTCAATCATCTCCGCTTGCAATTTGAATGAACCCAGCGCTATGATTGGTCGAACTCTTCTCTTGCTGTTGCTTGATTTGAGGACTGCGCGTGCAAATACGCGTCGCCAGGTTTTTGCGTAGTTTAGAGTGACAAATCGCACCAGCGTACTTTGAGGTCAAAATGCGTGCCCACTACGCAAAATGCGTACATGTTGGCAGGTATGTAGTTTCACTGGAGCAGTTAAATCACCAACTTCATGTTTATACTCACAGTTGATCAGGAGTCACTGCTTCATCACTGAATTCAGGAGGAGGACCCATGGATCTGTCACTCTTCATAGACACACAGCTGGGGTCAGAGGTCACTGCTTCATCACTGAATACAGGAGGAAGAGGCATGGATCTGTTACTCTTCATAGACACACAGCTGGGGTCAGAGGTCACTGTTTCATCACTGAATACAGGAGGAAGAGGCATGGATCTGTTACTCTTCATAGACACACAGCTGGGGTCAGAGGTCACTGTTTCATCACTGAATACAGGAGGAAGAGGCATGGATCTGTTACTCTTCATAGACACACAGCTGGGGTCAGAGGTCACTGTTTCATCACTGAATACAGGAGGAAGAGGCATGGATCTGTTACTCCTCATAGACACACAGCTGGGGTCTGGAGATGAAGATCTCCGTCTCTTCCTCCTCCTGGAGATACTGAGAAAACACAGAAAAATGATTCTAGCTTTAGTTCTGCCAGCTGTTTTATTTATTATAAGTCACTCTGTTTTCTCTAACGCCTGTTTAAGTTTAGTCTTCAACTTGAGTCTTTCAGTTTTGAGATTTGTTGATTGAGTCTTGATTCTCCTTCAGAGAGGTGTGTGTGTGTGTGGAGGTTTGTCTATTACTTTAATAATGTCTCACAGTTCGATTCCAAGCCGCTCTGAAACCACAGTATCGTGAGCTGCATGTGTGTGTGTGTGACTCGGAAACACGCTGCACATGTATTATGGATGGTAAGATTCACAGATTCGCATCGGTGCATCGGCATAAAAATAAGTGTGCATCGGATACATGTTGGCATTTGTGATGCATCGTTTTTTTACATCTGCATCGGTAAAAAACTATCTATTCATATATAATTACTAGTCGATGCGCTATACTTTTATTATTTAAAAAGTGATCAATATTTTATTACTGATTGATTTCTCCTGTCTGAACTGTTGCTCAAGCGCGTTTCTCATCACCGCCGCTGCTGCTACATGAATATGGCGCATCACAACACTACGCAGAGCGAGGCGCGTCCTGGAGGCGGAGCTCTATCTTTCAATAAATAATCATAAATCCAGTGTTTGGAAACACTTTAACGCTATAAAATATACAGACAGTATCCTGCTACTAATTTAACAACACAGAGCATATTGTTGTCCTACTGTTAGTTTCACAGCTTCTATTGTTCTCATTTCTAAGTCGCTTTGGATAAAAGCGTCTGCTAAATAAATAAAGGTAGATGTTTTTCATATATATTTTTTTACATTCATACAGTATTTTTTTCTTACAGATATGATACGTTTTTTTTCTTTTGTATTATGTTAAACAGCTCCTGCTTTCTGCTCCCTGAGTTCGCCTGCTGAAATCCCATTAGCCCGCTGGACTTATGGAACATTTCTGCGTTGTTTATCTCTGAGCATCCTTACATTGTTTCACTGTTAAAAGTGTAACCAGAGACAGGACAGGAAAATAAAGTCTGTTTTATTGAATCTTTTGGTTTTGTGAATTTAACAACCTATACAATATTGAATTTCATAGCATCATATTTTTCTCCACTGCATTTTATGTATTACATTGAACAGCATCGCATTGAATCGAATCAAAATTGCATCGTAATAGTAGTGAACCGTATTGCATCGCATCGGCAGCCGCTTATATGTATCTTTAATGTTTCGTATCGTTGGCTATGCATCGAGATGCGCATCGCATCGGCCTCAGTTATGGAGATGCACATCCCTAACATGTTTACTATATTACAGCCCTTTTCAATTACATAATCACACTAACCCATATGACCAGGCGTTTGTAAATTATTACATTCCTAAGTAACACATCTGTAATTTTGTGTCACCTGGGGTCAGAGGTCATTGTCTCGTCACTGATATTAGGAGGAGGACCCATGGATCTGTCACTCTTCATAGACACACAGCTGGGGTCTGGAGATGAAGATCTCTCTCTGTTCTCCATCATGAGAAACTGACTTCAGACCTGCATATGGAAACACAAGAGAACAACACAAAGATACATACTGGTGCCGGTCATATAATTAGAACATCATCAAAAAGTTGATTTATATTATTAATTCCATTCAAAAAGTGAAACTTTGATTTTATATTCATTCATTCAGACTGATATATTTCAAGTGTTCATTCCTTTTCATTTTGCTGATTATATCTGACAACTAATGAAAATCCCAAATTCAGTATCTCCGAAAATTAGAATATCACTCAAGACCAATACAGAAAAAGGATTTTCAGAAATGTTGGCCAACTGTAAAGTATGAGCATGTACAGCAGCACTCAATACTCCTTTAGCCTGAATGACTGCAGCAATGCGGCGTGGCGTGGAGTCGGTCCGTCTGTGGCTCTGATCAGGGGTTATGAGAGCACAGGTTGTTCTGATAGTGGCCTTCAGCTCTTCTGCATTGTTGGGTCTGCCGTATCGCATCTTCCTCTTTACAATATACCATCACTTTTCTATTGGGTTAAGGTCAGGTGAGTTTGCTGGCCAATTAAGAACAGGGATACCATGGACTTTAAACCAGGTACTGGTAGCTTTGGCACTGTGAGCAGGTGCCAAGTCCTGTTGGAAAATGAAATCTGCATCTCCATGAAGTTGGTCAGCAGCAGAAAGCATGAAGTGCTCTAAAACATGCTGGTAAACTTCAGAAAACACAGTGGACCAACACCAGCAGATGACATGGCACCCCAAACCATCACTGACTGTGGAAACTTTACACTGGACTTCAGGCATAGTGGATTCTGAGCCTCTCCTCTTCCTCCAGACTCGGGACCTTGATGTCCAAAGGAAATGTAAAATGTACTTTCATCAGAGAACATAACTCAGCAGAAGTCCAGTCCTTTTTGTCTTTAGCCCAGGCGAGACGCTTCTGAAGCCGTGTCTTGTCCAGCACCAGTGCGAGTGATAGGCCCGACTCCGCCACGTCCGTAGCCGAAGCGTATGGAGGAACTCGACAGGGTTCGGCTAATAATGGGAACTCTACTGGAGCAAGAATTACACACGTATCCAGTCCATAGGAGAGGAATGGCGCAGCAAGCCGACACTACAAACTGGCCTCACGTGAAGGGAGCCCACGGGAAGCAGCGGTTCCACACATAGGCTAGTCCTCTAGCGAACGTGATAGATGTCGCCCAGCCCTCAACTCTATTTAACATCTGTTCAGCGAAGCTCTCTGTGTCAGCGCCTAGGAGAGAGCAATACCCTCACTGAGGAGGAGCTCACCACCCAGATGGACACGTGCATCTTGGGAAAACTTTCTCACCAAACCGGGATCATGCCAGGGAGCCAGTCGTCGAGAAGCTCATGTATATTCAGCACATAATGATGATGGTTATCTCTAGGCCTACACTCAATGAACAACATCTCAACACTCGGTCTCATATACACGCCTGTCTCAAACACAAGCCGGTGCAGTTCAGCCATTTGGGAAAATAAAAGACTATTATTTGAAGTTTTACAGTTTCATACTAAAAGCTAAAATCATTTATATTTCAGGGGCCTTTATCATGCGCAGCAGTCGTATAAATCACAATAACTGGTCAAATAAGGCTTTGCCGGGACAAATATTAGTTTCGGCAGTCGACAGAAATGTTTCAATGCAAGAAAACCCTGCGATAATAAAACTAATATATGGCCGACAATGTCAGAACAATAAGGCTCTGATGTGAGACACTTATTACTTTACAATAAATTGCTTTTATAAAAGTGTATGAAAGTAAAGTGTGTGTAAAGTCTACTTGATCTTTGCAAACACAGGAGTGAGCGGGACACAAACTAACACAGGCTCGTTGTAACACACATAGTTTACAGCTTTACACACATGAAGACACTTACTGTACTAGTTGCCATATCAACATTATACAGAATTAATAAATCTTTGGAAGATATCATTAAACATTTATTTAACCATTAGCAAAAATATATTTTACAGAAGTATTTTATATTTTAGAAGTATATTGTGTGTTTATTTAAAACTAGACAAATGTGATATTATGTTAATCTCCAGTGTGTTATTGAACAGTTGATATAGTTGTTTAATGCTGATCTAAGAACAGAAGACACTCGCCGGGTTTAAACCCAATGGTGTGGGGCATGTTGTCACACTGCATTACAATGCATTATTATTAGAACTATGATTTTCTATAAAAAAGTTAATAATTTTATTGTATTGATTGTATATTTTAGTTTGTCTGGTATATATATTTTTATATTAGATAACATTTTAATCTATCATATGGTCATGTTACAATGTACTATGGGGCATGTTGTCACATTTCACTTCCATTCTTTCAGTGTAAATCATGAAAAAATATATATACATTGTATTAATGAAAAAACACATAATTTTACTGGACGTGTGAAATGAATGTGTTTAACAATAAATATTCTGAAGCCCAAGTGGATTTACACAAACTGAGGAAGTCTAAAAGTGTTCGGTTGTGCCCCGCTCTCTCTCTTTTCTATTATAGCAGTGATATTATAATATTATATTTAAACTATTGTATAGCAGTGATATTATAATATTATATTTAAACTATTGTATAGCAGTGATATTATAATATTATATTTAAACTATTGTATAGCAGTGATATTATAATATTATATTTAAACTATTGTATAGCAGTGATATTATAATATTATATTTAAACTATTGTATAGCAGTGATATTATACTATTATATTTAAACTATTGTATAGCAGTGATATTATAATATTATATTTAAACTATTGTATAGCAGTGGTTCCCAAACCTTTCAGAGTGTCTCTCTTCCACTTCGACTGCAGTCACACCTGTTGTATTTTATTTAAATGTTTGCGTACATATATATTCAAACGTGCATATCTATAGACTAAACACGTGATGCGCATTAAGGGTTTCGGCCCATAAGTTAATAACTAATGATCTCTACAACTGAAGTGAATCAATCAAAACTAACTTTATCTGGACAATAACTTTATTCTAGATCTGCTGTAAAGCCTAAACAATTTCTGTCACTGTAATCTCCTCTTATCACTGTAAAGCTGCTGTGAAACATCTATATTGTTAAAAGTGCTATATAAATGAAGGTGGATATTTACACTTTTGTATATTTTCAGTAAAGAATCCATAAATGAGTCTCAAGTAAAAGCAGAATCATAGATGTCGATATGATTATAACTCCTGTCGCCAGATGCAGAAACTGCTTCTAGTTTTACAGTCAGTCTAGTTTCTTCTTCAAGAATGATCATAACATTTAAGTCAGTTTCATAAAAAGGTGGATACTTGGTGAAAGGTGAACTTACCGTCATGTTATATTTATGTCAGTTTTTAAGGCCTCAAAATGTGAATTTCCATCCGTCAGAATCGAGTCTTTACTTTCGGTTTGGACTCAAAGGTGTTTCCTCAGAATGCAGAGTGCGCATGCGCAGGAGATCTCTCTTCTTCTTCTCTTAGTTCTCTCAGGGGTTTCAGTCTATCATTAACTGTGTTTAGCGCCACCTACTCTACTGGAGTGTGTCACACCATGACTTCCTCAATCTTCATTCCACTATTACTTATAATATCTGTTTTTAATCATTTAATTGTTTCTTAAGTAAAGCTTTTGCAATTAATTTATGTATGATTAAAAATAGTGTATTAAAGTCTAGTAGCCTAAATATGTTCATGTATATTGTTAATCTATTGAATTTAATTGGGTGATTTCCTTCATTTTTCCCCAAGAGAGATATCTATTCGTTGTTATTTTTTATATGGTCTTTGGTATTGACTTATTATTGAATGTTCAGGTAATGTTTGACTCAAAAGCTCTGCTAAATGAGTAAATATATAAAATCTTTCTGTGCTTTTCCTCCATGTTAGGATTCATTTTAAGCCAAAATGAGGGTCAACCTTGAACAAACTGCAGCAGAAGTTTCCTCAATATGTCCTGAGTAAGGGGGAAAGCCCTGAACAATCCCATAAGGGAAAAGTTTAGAAAAAGACCCAAATATAGTATATTCATACACATATTCATTGTGTTTCTCACGGTAAACATGTTAACCTTTAATGCATTGCAGTGTGTGTGTGTGTGTGTGTGTGTGTGTGTGTGTGTGTGTGTGTGTGTGTGTGTGTGTGTGTGTTTACCTGGCCAGTGGCCACAGAAGCTCCTCTACGTATCAATGAATGCATTTTAGATTGATTATTTGTGCAAAACTCACACAAATAAGTTTTTAGTGTCTCTCACACAAGTTTTTAGTGTCTATGAATGTTATCTAGAGTAATTTGACATGTTTTTGAGATGTATTTCAGGGTCAGTGCTATAAAACACATGTTCTACATGTTCTCACGAGGAGATCAGGCCGTCACACATGTGGACGGGGCTCGTCTGATGTTCACAGTTCGTGGGACAGAAAGCTTTATTTCAGGAGAGAGCGTCCACAATCAACGCTCCTCATTTTCACATAATGTTCTTTTATTGAGATTTTGTCTAATATATTTTTCATTTTATTACTATGTTTTTTAATGAATGGTCAACTTGTGCATAATCCCTGTCTGAAACTGTTAGACTGAACTACTGTATTTGTCCTCAGCATAGAGAGGTTTTTTAATGAATGATCAACTTTTTAATCCCCAGTGCTAAATTAACACTCTTCAGTGTACACATGTGTCCACACTACAGGGTGTTAAAGTGAACACTGAAGCAGTGTTGGACTTAATGAGATGATTAACTGATAAGACCGTGTGTATGAGACTGTCCTCCTCCAAAACACCACCATAAAGGTTGTGTGTGCAAGCAGCTCATTATGACCCATACTTACGTTTTACAGTTAAACGCCGTCTAGCGCTCATTTTAATAATGACGGTGTGTGTCATGAAATGGTGTTTGACCGTCGTTACCAATTAAAATATTTGTTTTATCATTGTATTCACTCAAGATTACTTAATACAGTATAAAATATACTGTATATAATATATATATATATACATATATGCAATGTATTTGATGTACTTTTTTTCTTCAAAAATTATTATTGGAAAGTAAAGAACCACATCAAATCACATTTAAATAACTGGTTCTCAATAAACTATGGAAACAGGATTATTAATGGGACTTTCCCCTAAATTATTCCCTTAAATTCATTAAAATTCAGTTTGTAGCACAGTATATTTCAAATGGATGGCAAATAGTAATTAGCCTAAATTATGACCAAGACTTGCGTAATACCTAAACATTGTCTGACTAATCAGATTCTCTGTCATGAACTGCAATTTCTGTCATATTGCCACAAATAATTTCAGCCTAATGTCTCCCAATATATGCTATATCCCAGAATATATCCCAGTATATTTATATAGTGCTTTTTACAATACAGATGGTTTCAAATCAGCTTGAATTAGTTTAATTTAGTGATGTCATCATCCCCTCACTTCAGTTCTCATATAATGGTGTCAGTGCAGACAGATCAGTAATATTGTTGAATATTAAGAGTCCCCACTTCACATGCAGAATAAATAACAGCACTAGTGCATTCAGATTTATAGGCACAGGTCGACCAGGATCAGTCCGTGGGACACTTACAGAGCTCTGGTTGTTGGACTGATCATCTCATCATCATTGGGGACTATCAACAGGGTGTTTCGTCACTTCCTTCAACCTTTTTATATCCGACCAGATGAAGTCAAGCATAATAGTGGCTTACTATATTCTTTAGTCCTGTGCTGTACAAATACTGGTCAAATAGTAAACACATGTTTGTTTTAAGGTCCATAAACCTGTGTCTGCCGTGTAGAAGCTGTCCACTTTGCTCTTCCACATGGACTCGTGGAATTAGAGACTTGCTTGAATACAGAAACTGGCCAGAAACACCAGCGGCCAAATGCTGATCAAGTTTGATCTGTTCACATCATTTGAGCAGATGAAATTAGCCAGTCCTGCTTTATCCCAACAAGCATTTCTCCGGATGCTTGAACATCCATCTCTTTGCTCTGGTCGGGTAAGGGCTGATTTCATTTCCAGACTTCAAAATCTTTTATTAAGCACAATAATAGCATCCTTCTTTCCAGACGGGTAGTGTTTGTGATGATTCATTCACAGAGTCTTTCAGGAGTTTGCCTTCTGCAACTTTAAGAAAGAAGATCTGTGCCTGTTGGAGCCTTTAAATGGCCAGCATGCACACCAGACACGCTGGCGATATCTGCAGACGCTAATAGAAAACATCAGCGCTTCAAGAAGTCAAAGGGGAAGTGGAGTCTTTTATTTCTGTAGATATAGGGTATTGTGTAGCCCTGCAATAGAGCGCCAGATATGTCCATGCTGCACGTCACCGCTCACCCAGTGCATGATGGACAGGTCATGATGTCTGCGGGCCGGCAGGCAATATCCCAGAAGTCCAGGGCCAAGGTGGATGAAGAGGGCCTTGATCAGCTGTGTTAGACATGGACTCTCCTGCAAGGCTTGAGTCTCTACCGTGGGGAAATATATGCCGACCCAATGTTCCCGCAGAAGAGCTGGCACAAGCTGCAAATGCAACGCTCTTTTGTGTGGACATTGCTCACAGGTAGATAGCCATTAGATAGATATAGGCCACATTTTAAAAGGTAATGTGAACAGCCAAACCAAAAATCGGATCTGAGCAAAAAATCTGAATTGAACATTCAGCGGTGTGGGTAGAGAAATGGGATTTGCTGCTACATCATCAACTTGGTATTTGGAAATTTTTTGTTGTTTCTAATAATTTTTTTACCCTTACAGACAGCAACCAAACAAGGCAACGCAAACGGAGGACACTTGGTGATCTCCAGAAGACACTCAGAGAGAAGACAGTGCTGTACAACACCATTCCTGGCTGTGAAGAGGACATGGACAGCGGAGCAGCATGCGGTCTCTCTGATGAGTTTATTCTGCCTGGGGAAGCACAAGGAGATGGTCAGTGATATGGTGAGAGTCTCTTTTTAATTAAAGGGCTTACACATCTGTCAATCATCTCCGCTTGCAATTTGAATGAACCCAGCGCTATGATTGGTCGAACTCTTCTCTTGCTGTTGCTTGATTTGAGGACTGCGCGTGCAAATACGCGTCGCCAGGTTTTTGCGTAGTTTAGAGTGACAAATCGCACCAGCGTACTTTGAGGTCAAAATGCGTGCCCACTACGCAAAATGCGTACATGTTGGCAGGTATGTAGTTTCACTGGAGCAGTTAAATCACCAACTTCATGTTTATACTCACAGTTGATCAGGAGTCACTGCTTCATCACTGAATACAGGAGGAAGACCCATGGATCTGTCACTCTTCATAGACACACAGCTGGGGTCAGAGGTCACTGTTTCATCACTGAATACAGGAGGAAGAGGCATGGATCTGTTACTCTTCATAGACACACAGCTGGGGTCAGAGGTCACTGTTTCATCACTGAATACAGGAGGAAGAGGCATGGATCTGTTACTCTTCATAGACACACAGCTGGGGTCAGAGGTCACTGCTTCATCACTGAATTCAGGAGGATGACCCATGGATCTGTCACTCCTCACAGACACACAGCTGGGGTCTGGAGATGAAGATCTCTGTCTCTTCCTCATCCTGGAGATACTGAGAAAACACAGAAAAATGATTCTAGCTTTAGTTCTGCCAGCTGTTTTATTTATTATAAGTCACTCTGTTTTCTCTAACGCCTGTTTAAGTTTAGTCTTCAACTTGAGTCTTTCAGTTTTGAGATTTGTTGATTGAGTCTTGATTCTCCTTCAGAGAGGTGTGTGTGTGGAGGTTTGTCTATTACTTTAATAATGTCTCACAGTTCGATTCCAAGCCGCTCTGAAACCACAGTATCGTGAGCTGCATGTGTGTGTGTGTGACTCGGAAACACGCTGCACATGTATTATGGATGGTAAGATTCACAGATTCGCATCGGTGCATCGGCATAAAAATAAGTGTGCATCGGATACATGTTGGCATTTGTGATGCATCGTTTTTTTACATCTGCATCGGTAAAAAACTATCTATTCATATATAATTACTAGTCGATGCGCTATACTTTTATTATTTAAAAAGTGATCAATATTTTATTACTGATTGATTTCTCCTGTCTGAACTGTTGCTCAAGCGCATCTCTTATCACCGCCGCTGCTGCTACATGAATATGGCGCATCACAACACTACGCAGAGCGAGGCAAGTCCTGGAGGCGGAGCTCTATCTTTCAATAAATAATCATAAATCCAGTGTTTGGAAACACTTTAACGCTATAAAATATACAGACAGTATCCTGCTACTAATTTAACAACACAGAGCATATTGTTGTCCGACTGTTAGTTTCACAGCTTCTATTGTTCTCATTTCTAAGTCACTTTGGATAAAAGCGTCTGCTAAATGAATAAAGGTAGATGTTTTTCATATATATTTTTTTACATTCATACAGTATTTTTTTCATACGGTTATGAAAGTTTTTTTTCTTTTGTATTATGTTGAACAGCTCCTGCTTTCTGCTCCCTGAGTTCGCCTGCTGAAATCACATTAGCCCGCTGGACTTATGGAACATTTCTGCGTTGTTTATCTCTGAGCATCCTTACATTGTTTCACTGTTAAAAGTGTAACCAGAGACAGGACAGGAAAATAAAGTCTGTTTTATTGAATCTTTTGGTTTTGTGAATTTAACAACCTATACAATATTGAATTTCATAGCATCATATTTTTCTCCACTGCATTTTATGTATTACATTGAACAGCATCGCATTGAATCGAATCAAAATTGCATCGTAATAGTAGTGAACCGTATTGCATCGCATCGGCAGCCGCTTATATGTATCTTTAATGTTTCGTATCGTTGGCTATGCATCGAGATGCGCATCGCATCGGCCTCAGTTATGGAGATGCACATCCCTAACATGTTTACTATATTACAGCCCTTTTCAATTACATAATCACACTAACCCATATGACCAGGCGTTTGTAAATTATTACATTCCTAAGTAACACATCTGTAATTTTGTGTCACCTGGGGTCAGAGGTCATTGTCTCGTCACTGATATTAGGAGGAGGACCCATGGATCTGTCACTCTTCATAGACACACAGCTGGGGTCTGGAGATGAAGATCTCTCTCTGTTCTCCATCATGAGAAACTGACTTCAGACCTGCATATGGAAACACAAGAGAACAACACAAAGATACATACTGGTGCCGGTCATATAATTAGAACATCATCAAAAAGTTGATTTATATTATTAATTCCATTCAAAAAGTGAAACTTTGATTTTATATTCATTCATTCAGACTGATATATTTCAAGTGTTCATTCCTTTTCATTTTGCTGATTATATCTGACAACTAATGAAAATCCCAAATTCAGTATCTCCGAAAATTAGAATATCACTCAAGACCAATACAGAAAAAGGATTTTCAGAAATGTTGGCCAACTGTAAAGTATGAGCATGTACAGCAGCACTCAATACTCCTTTAGCCTGAATGACTGCAGCAATGCGGCGTGGCGTGGAGTCGGTCCGTCTGTGGCTCTGATCAGGGGTTATGAGAGCACAGGTTGTTCTGATAGTGGCCTTCAGCTCTTCTGCATTGTTGGGTCTGCCGTATCGCATCTTCCTCTTTACAATATACCATCACTTTTCTATTGGGTTAAGGTCAGGTGAGTTTGCTGGCCAATTAAGAACAGGGATACCATGGACTTTAAACCAGGTACTGGTAGCTTTGGCACTGTGAGCAGGTGCCAAGTCCTGTTGGAAAATGAAATCTGCATCTCCATGAAGTTGGTCAGCAGCAGAAAGCATGAAGTGCTCTAAAACATGCTGGTAAACTTCAGAAAACACAGTGGACCAACACCAGCAGATGACATGGCACCCCAAACCATCACTGACTGTGGAAACTTTACACTGGACTTCAGGCATAGTGGATTCTGAGCCTCTCCTCTTCCTCCAGACTCGGGACCTTGATGTCCAAAGGAAATGTAAAATGTACTTTCATCAGAGAACATAACTCAGCAGAAGTCCAGTCCTTTTTGTCTTTAGCCCAGGCGAGACGCTTCTGAAGCCGTGTCTTGTCCAGCACCAGTGCGAGTGATAGGCCCGACTCCGCCACGTCCGTAGCCGAAGCGTATGGAGGAACTCGACAGGGTTCGGCTAATAATGGGAACTCTACTGGAGCAAGAATTACACACGTATCCAGTCCATAGGAGAGGAATGGCGCAGCAAGCCGACACTACAAACTGGCCTCACGTGAAGGGAGCCCACGGGAAGCAGCGGTTCCACACATAGGCTAGTCCTCTAGCGAACGTGATAGATGTCGCCCAGCCCTCAACTCTATTTAACATCTGTTCAGCGAAGCTCTCTGTGTCAGCGCCTAGGAGAGAGCAATACCCTCACTGAGGAGGAGCTCACCACCCAGATGGACACGTGCATCTTGGGAAAACTTTCTCACCAAACCGGGATCATGCCAGGGAGCCAGTCGTCGAGAAGCTCATGTATATTCAGCACATAATGATGATGGTTATCTCTAGGCCTACACTCAATGAACAACATCTCAACACTCGGTCTCATATACACGCCTGTCTCAAACACAAGCCGGTGCAGTTCAGCCATTTGGGAAAATAAAAGACTATTATTTGAAGTTTTACAGTTTCATACTAAAAGCTAAAATCATTTATATTTCAGGGGCCTTTATCATGCGCAGCAGTCGTATAAATCACAATAACTGGTCAAATAAGGCTTTGCCGGGACAAATATTAGTTTCGGCAGTCGACAGAAATGTTTCAATGCAAGAAAACCCTGCGATAATAAAACTAATATATGGCCGACAATGTCAGAACAATAAGGCTCTGATGTGAGACACTTATTACTTTACAATAAATTGCTTTTATAAAAGTGTATGAAAGTAAAGTGTGTGTAAAGTCTACTTGATCTTTGCAAACACAGGAGTGAGCGGGACACAAACTAACACAGGCTCGTTGTAACACACATAGTTTACAGCTTTACACACATGAAGACACTTACTGTACTAGTTGCCATATCAACATTATACAGAATTAATAAATCTTTGGAAGATATCATTAAACATTTATTTAACCATTAGCAAAAATATATTTTACAGAAGTATTTTATATTTTAGAAGTATATTGTGTGTTTATTTAAAACTAGACAAATGTGATATTATGTTAATCTCCAGTGTGTTATTGAACAGTTGATATAGTTGTTTAATGCTGATCTAAGAACAGAAGACACTCGCCGGGTTTAAACCCAATGGTGTGGGGCATGTTGTCACACTGCATTACAATGCATTATTATTAGAACTATGATTTTCTATAAAAAAGTTAATAATTTTATTGTATTGATTGTATATTTTAGTTTGTCTGGTATATATATTTTTATATTAGATAACATTTTAATCTATCATATGGTCATGTTACAATGTACTATGGGGCATGTTGTCACATTTCACTTCCATTCTTTCAGTGTAAATCATGAAAAAATATATATACATTGTATTAATGAAAAAACACATAATTTTACTGGACGTGTGAAATGAATGTGTTTAACAATAAATATTCTGAAGCCCAAGTGGATTTACACAAACTGAGGAAGTCTAAAAGTGTTCGGTTGTGCCCCGCTCTCTCTCTTTTCTATTATAGCAGTGATATTATAATATTATATTTAAACTATTGTATAGCAGTGATATTATAATATTATATTTAAACTATTGTATAGCAGTGATATTATAATATTATATTTAAACTATTGTATAGCAGTGATATTATAATATTATATTTAAACTATTGTATAGCAGTGATATTATAATATTATATTTAAACTATTGTATAGCAGTGATATTATACTATTATATTTAAACTATTGTATAGCAGTGATATTATAATATTATATTTAAACTATTGTATAGCAGTGGTTCCCAAACCTTTCAGAGTGTCTCTCTTCCACTTCGACTGCAGTCACACCTGTTGTATTTTATTTAAATGTTTGCGTACATATATATTCAAACGTGCATATCTATAGACTAAACACGTGATGCGCATTAAGGGTTTCGGCCCATAAGTTAATAACTAATGATCTCTACAACTGAAGTGAATCAATCAAAACTAACTTTATCTGGACAATAACTTTATTCTAGATCTGCTGTAAAGCCTAAACAATTTCTGTCACTGTAATCTCCTCTTATCACTGTAAAGCTGCTGTGAAACATCTATATTGTTAAAAGTGCTATATAAATGAAGGTGGATATTTACACTTTTGTATATTTTCAGTAAAGAATCCATAAATGAGTCTCAAGTAAAAGCAGAATCATAGATGTCGATATGATTATAACTCCTGTCGCCAGATGCAGAAACTGCTTCTAGTTTTACAGTCAGTCTAGTTTCTTCTTCAAGAATGATCATAACATTTAAGTCAGTTTCATAAAAAGGTGGATACTTGGTGAAAGGTGAACTTACCGTCATGTTATATTTATGTCAGTTTTTAAGGCCTCAAAATGTGAATTTCCATCCGTCAGAATCGAGTCTTTACTTTCGGTTTGGACTCAAAGGTGTTTCCTCAGAATGCAGAGTGCGCATGCGCAGGAGATCTCTCTTCTTCTTCTCTTAGTTCTCTCAGGGGTTTCAGTCTATCATTAACTGTGTTTAGCGCCACCTACTCTACTGGAGTGTGTCACACCATGACTTCCTCAATCTTCATTCCACTATTACTTATAATATCTGTTTTTAATCATTTAATTGTTTCTTAAGTAAAGCTTTTGCAATTAATTTATGTATGATTAAAAATAGTGTATTAAAGTCTAGTAGCCTAAATATGTTCATGTATATTGTTAATCTATTGAATTTAATTGGGTGATTTCCTTCATTTTTCCCCAAGAGAGATATCTATTCGTTGTTATTTTTTATATGGTCTTTGGTATTGACTTATTATTGAATGTTCAGGTAATGTTTGACTCAAAAGCTCTGCTAAATGAGTAAATATATAAAATCTTTCTGTGCTTTTCCTCCATGTTAGGATTCATTTTAAGCCAAAATGAGGGTCAACCTTGAACAAACTGCAGCAGAAGTTTCCTCAATATGTCCTGAGTAAGGGGGAAAGCCCTGAACAATCCCATAAGGGAAAAGTTTAGAAAAAGACCCAAATATAGTATATTCATACACATATTCATTGTGTTTCTCACGGTAAACATGTTAACCTTTAATGCATTGCAGTGTGTGTGTGTGTGTGTGTGTGTGTGTGTGTGTGTGTGTGTGTGTGTGTGTGTGTGTGTGTGTGTTTACCTGGCCAGTGGCCACAGAAGCTCCTCTACGTATCAATGAATGCATTTTAGATTGATTATTTGTGCAAAACTCACACAAATAAGTTTTTAGTGTCTCTCACACAAGTTTTTAGTGTCTATGAATGTTATCTAGAGTAATTTGACATGTTTTTGAGATGTATTTCAGGGTCAGTGCTATAAAACACATGTTCTACATGTTCTCACGAGGAGATCAGGCCGTCACACATGTGGACGGGGCTCGTCTGATGTTCACAGTTCGTGGGACAGAAAGCTTTATTTCAGGAGAGAGCGTCCACAATCAACGCTCCTCATTTTCACATAATGTTCTTTTATTGAGATTTTGTCTAATATATTTTTCATTTTATTACTATGTTTTTTAATGAATGGTCAACTTGTGCATAATCCCTGTCTGAAACTGTTAGACTGAACTACTGTATTTGTCCTCAGCATAGAGAGGTTTTTTAATGAATGATCAACTTTTTAATCCCCAGTGCTAAATTAACACTCTTCAGTGTACACATGTGTCCACACTACAGGGTGTTAAAGTGAACACTGAAGCAGTGTTGGACTTAATGAGATGATTAACTGATAAGACCGTGTGTATGAGACTGTCCTCCTCCAAAACACCACCATAAAGGTTGTGTGTGCAAGCAGCTCATTATGACCCATACTTACGTTTTACAGTTAAACGCCGTCTAGCGCTCATTTTAATAATGACGGTGTGTGTCATGAAATGGTGTTTGACCGTCGTTACCAATTAAAATATTTGTTTTATCATTGTATTCACTCAAGATTACTTAATACAGTATAAAATATACTGTATATAATATATATATATATACATATATGCAATGTATTTGATGTACTTTTTTTCTTCAAAAATTATTATTGGAAAGTAAAGAACCACATCAAATCACATTTAAATAACTGGTTCTCAATAAACTATGGAAACAGGATTATTAATGGGACTTTCCCCTAAATTATTCCCTTAAATTCATTAAAATTCAGTTTGTAGCACAGTATATTTCAAATGGATGGCAAATAGTAATTAGCCTAAATTATGACCAAGACTTGCGTAATACCTAAACATTGTCTGACTAATCAGATTCTCTGTCATGAACTGCAATTTCTGTCATATTGCCACAAATAATTTCAGCCTAATGTCTCCAATATATGCTATATCCCAGAATATATCCCAGTATATTTATATAGTGCTTTTTACAATACAGATGGTTTCAAATCAGCTTGAATTAGTTTAATTTAGTGATGTCATCATCCCCTCACTTCAGTTCTCATATAATGGTGTCAGTGCAGACAGATCAGTAATATTGTTGAATATTAAGAGTCCCCACTTCACATGCAGAATAAATAACAGCACTAGTGCATTCAGATTTATAGGCACAGGTCGACCAGGATCAGTCCGTGGGACACTTACAGAGCTCTGGTTGTTGGACTGATCATCTCATCATCATTGGGGACTATCAACAGGGTGTTTCGTCACTTCCTTCAACCTTTTTATATCCGACCAGATGAAGTCAAGCATAATAGTGGCTTACTATATTCTTTAGTCCTGTGCTGTACAAATACTGGTCAAATAGTAAACACATGTTTGTTTTAAGGTCCATAAACCTGTGTCTGCCGTGTAGAAGCTGTCCACTTTGCTCTTCCACATGGACTCGTGGAATTAGAGACTTGCTTGAATACAGAAACTGGCCAGAAACACCAGCGGCCAAATGCTGATCAAGTTTGATCTGTTCACATCATTTGAGCAGATGAAATTAGCCAGTCCTGCTTTATCCCAACAAGCATTTCTCCGGATGCTTGAACATCCATCTCTTTGCTCTGGTCGGGTAAGGGCTGATTTCATTTCCAGACTTCAAAATCTTTTATTAAGCACAATAATAGCATCCTTCTTTCCAGACGGGTAGTGTTTGTGATGATTCATTCACAGAGTCTTTCAGGAGTTTGCCTTCTGCAACTTTAAGAAAGAAGATCTGTGCCTGTTGGAGCCTTTAAATGGCCAGCATGCACACCAGACACGCTGGCGATATCTGCAGACGCTAATAGAAAACATCAGCGCTTCAAGAAGTCAAAGGGAAGTGGAGTCTTTTATTTCTGTAGATATAGGGTATTGTGTAGCCCTGCAATAGAGCGCCAGATATGTCCATGCTGCACGTCACCGCTCACCCAGTGCATGATGGACAGGTCATGATGTCTGCGGGCCGGCAGGCAATATCCCAGAAGTCCAGGGCCAAGGTGGATGAAGAGGGCCTTGATCAGCTGTGTTAGACATGGACTCTCCTGCAAGGCTTGAGTCTCTACCGTGGGGAAATATATGCCGACCCAATGTTCCCGCAGAAGAGCTGGCACAAGCTGCAAATGCAACGCTCTTTTGTGTGGACATTGCTCACAGGTAGATAGCCATTAGATAGATATAGGCCACATTTTAAAAGGTAATGTGAACAGCCAAACCAAAAATCGGATCTGAGCAAAAAATCTGAATTGAACATTCAGCGGTGTGGGTAGAGAAATGGGATTTGCTGCTACATCATCAACTTGGTATTTGGAAATTTTTTGTTGTTTCTAATAATTTTTTTACCCTTACAGACAGCAACCAAACAAGGCAACGCAAACGGAGGACACTTGGTGATCTCCAGAAGACACTCAGAGAGAAGACAGTGCTGTACAACACCATTCCTGGCTGTGAAGAGGACATGGACAGCGGAGCAGCATGCGGTCTCTCTGATGAGTTTATTCTGCCTGGGGAAGCACAAGGAGATGGTCAGTGATATGGTGTATTTCTGTGCTTTTGGAAATTCAGTTGATTGTTAACACAAGTAATAGTCAGCAATTTAACACTGCCACCCTGTAAAAAAGGTGCAGCATGTGTCGACACGCACCCGTCCTTCTTCACGCTGGAGGAAGATGTTGAAGAGGAGAGCGACGGCAACAGCAGTCCAGAACTTTCTGAAGAAGACTCTTAAAGTTTTAACACTAACATTGGAAGCATCGGATCTTCCCAAAATCAGACTCTTGAGTTTGGAGTCTGGAAATGAAAATTTTTTCAGATGAACTTAATAAATAATAAATAAGTAAAAGTCATTGTAACCCTGAGCGACTGTGTCTGTTGTTTTCTCTCACACCAACATGGATTGGAGAACAGACGGCTCTACATTACCCATGAGCCTCACATTACACCTTACGTTACACCTTAACTGTTAAAACGCATTTCTTACTATTTATTGCAAATTTAATACATATTTATATTAACTTATACATTTTGATCTTGAAGGCAATATAATTTGTATGCACAGACTCAATATTTAATCTCAGTTTTATCCCAGAACACGCCTAGAAATGCTATACTTTTAGTTAAGTTAAACCTAAAGAGTCTTCATAGTGCGCTAAGAGACAATTTTATGAGAAAACGCAGCCCAGGACACTAGCAACCTTAAACACACAGTGTAAGTTATGTAAACTTCCCATTACTCCAATATTTTACAACCTATCATGATGATCGTGTTATTTTAGATGTATAACTGCTGGGCTGTCTCAGTGTATGTCCGTTATCAACTAGCCCAGGCTATGTCTACCTGCCATCATCATCCAGATCTCACTGTTATGGAAATATCATGTATTAACATTCATAAAGCTCGTCTTTTTGCTCTGTCTTCAGATCAGTGTAATGATGAGAATAAGCACACACACTGTTTTCACCTCGACGGGCTTGAGCTCTCATTGTGGCGTTGTGAATGTGCTGTCAATGTCAAATATTGATTTTAAAAGAGCCGCCTGGAGACGCAACGGTCGGATCCTTTCATTTGCGGCCCGTCTGACTTCCGCTCTCTCTAGAGTTCATGTGTCCTGTGTGTTTCTTTCCTATCAGAAACTCTCACAACTACAACAGTCAAAGATGTTCCTCTACTGGACACATTTCTCTACAGTTGTTTAGACTCGACCACACTTTAAAGTTAGGCATCTTTACAGATGATCATTTTAATAAATAGAAAAACACTTCCAGGAGCTGCTGGAGGAGAACCGTGTGCAAAAGCAGAACAAAAGCTCCTGGAGACACAAACTGTGCTGCAACTACAGACTAAACCATGACTTGATGGACAACATGAGCAGAAATATTCCAGCTCTATGTGACGAGTGTGACGTTCTGCTTCTAGAGCTCGGCTGCTTTCATGGAAGAGCATCACTGGACTCTTATTTTCTGCTCTGTGTTGAGATGATTTACACACTCCAGCTGAATAATGTCGAATCGGACAGATTTTGTCCAGGCTTCGTTCAGGT